ATATCTGTTGAAGTGACGTTTTTTTAAAATGTTCTCCAAGATATGAACGGAACCTGAAAGGGACAAACTTTCAGACAGTTTTTTTTTCGTCGTATTCGCTTATTAAATACGGTAAAATTAAATTTTTAAGAAACATCTGATTAAAAAATTAAAGGATAAATTTATAAATGAATTTTAAAATAGAACAATAATCGCTAAAGTAAAGAAAAATATGCTATATAGAACTTGAATTTCGTTCCTTGTTGGTTTCAGATTCATCTTGTATTCCTGTTGTAAATGGATTACTTTTTTACTCGTACGTTTTCTAGAATTATTGATAACCAATGTATTCTGAAATCAGTATTACAATCACTGTTGATGCTTGACTTAACCAAAAATGGCTCGATGTATCAACAATTTTAGAAGTATTGATACGGGCCTGTTTTATTTGACAATTAACTATGATTCATTAATTTTTTTGCTCAGATTATAATCGTGCGTCGAAGTAACGAATCCGTGGCTAAGATAAAACTATCTAAATTCTCTAAATATTCTCTTTTTAAATTTTTATTTAAAATATTTCCTTTCATGAATCCTATTTTTTTTTCGTTTTTGTTTTACAAAAGTCGTTAAATCAAATTTTTTTTATTATTATTTTCTCTTTGGTCCATTGGAATAAAATAACTAGAATAATTTGAAAATTTCAAAGTTTGTCTTCGACCATTGACCGCTCCGCACGTAGAATTTCTATTTCAGTGGAAATCTGAGTCCTTTTTGATGTTACACGTTGTTGCAGTACAACAATGTCGCGAAAGTACGTCTCCGATGACACACGCAATGCCCGCGATCGGTGTACGGTTTCTCTCAGTTCGACACGTTTCGAGTGCACTAGCCAGATTATTCCTGCAATCCGTTTCAACATTTCGTTGCATCGATGCTGGTTTCGTTGGATATAAATTTGTTAAAATTTTTGTGTAATTATTGTGTAAAATTAGTTATATATATAATTGAGGTTTTCTAACCTCAATTGAAGACCGAATCGTTATTCTTAATTTGGAAAATAATCGTGATACAATAATGTTAGTCTTGTTAAATTGAAATTTAATTAATATTCGAACTGTACTTGGTTGAAATTATTCTTTTATATGAATTAATATGAATCGTAATATGAATTTTCTTTTATACGAATTAACGAGCTTTCTTCGAAGCAACATTTTAAATTAAATTAGAAAGTACTTGTTAACATCGTTAACATCAAATTGAAATTCTGATTACTTTGAGTCTTTGTTTTTTGCAATAAGATTAACCGCTGATGAAAAATAGATGATTGGGTAAATAGCTACGTAATCCGATATTTTTTCAGCGGAACTCGTTATCGTTATAAACAAGTATTAATTGTACGTATATAATAACGTTCTTCTAACGTTCGCGTTCGTCTTTGTGTCAAATTTTATTTCTCTTCCAAGATAGAATCACGTTAAATATTCCTCGAAATTTAAATGTTTGCAATTTAGAAAGACTTTACTGTTCTCGTAAAACAGATCTTCGGGCTGACAAGGAAACAGAATTGAATTTCTACAATAATAATTTGTCAAAGTTAATGACAAAAATTGATGTAAGTACTTTGTATCGCAGAAAATTATTCATATTTCCAAATATTTTTGTAGATCCATCACGACTTTCATCGATCCAAATATTTAATAATAGTCAAAGTGATTCGCACCTTGAAGCTGTACAAGAGAAAGATTTTCACGCTGTGAACACTGTCTCCAAGTAACCGTCCTGCGGTCCACGCAGAATACTCTTCCCTTCAATGTCTCTCTTCGAATCACTTCATCTCTATCGGACAATAATCAAACGTATCTGCACCCTCTGACCGGCGCAGACGGTTTCACCAAGTCTCTGTCCAGTATCTGCGATGAATATTCGTCACCAAGGAAGGACAGTAGTAGATCCTCTAGATCAGTCTCGTCGTTCAATTCCAACGATCCAGCCATCCAGGTAAGCTGTTCTGGGAACGATTCACAGAAAACGGAATACGCGACACAGGACTTTTTCTAGGGGCTGTCTTCCAAAGGGTACCAAGCAGCTGGACCTGCGACGGAGGGGTTGGCCCCCGCCGCGGATGGCATGTACTACCAGGCCCGACCTTGGAAAGGTAGGTACGCGCCGCATTGCGGTTGTTGTTGCTGTTGCATGCTCTGTTGGGCACCAGTCCTCGAGTACGAGCAATGCTGAAGACTCTGGCTGGACGTTATCACGTGGTTCACACCGACCACCGAATGATGAGGTACCGAAGAGGCCGCGTGATGGGAGCCGTGAGGGCTCGACGCCGCGGTCATGTGAGGGGCTGGACTCGCCAAGGCCGCGCTCGGCCCGCCACGACTGCCCTCGTTTCCGCCGCCGCTTCCGCACGGTTTCCCGTCTTTCACCAGCACCGGCACGGCCACCCGTCGCGGCGAACTGGCGCTCTGCAACAGAGAATGGTGTCGTCCCTCGCGTTAGAAACGCAGATAAAATGTTCAAATGTGTGATATATATTTCGTGAAATGAAGGAACGACATGAAAAAATGATTTAAGTATATTTCTTTTTTTTTAGAATTCACTCGAGCGACGGTAGAAAATAGCTAAGGTCGAGAAACGAAGAAGGGATTAAATTTCGCCTCGAATCTCCTGAACACGGTTCATCCAAGAGAGAAACGACAGCCTAGCCTATCCGATCCGCCGGTGTGTACACTCGATCCACACGTAGGTGCACACAGGCTGTGTACGACGAAGCAGAGGAGAAGACGACGTCGTGGCTCGGCTTCTGTGTTCCAAGCAAACACGTGGGCTCGGTAGGCACAGGTACTTAACCCGTGCGATACTTCGTGATCAGCATTCGAGCGTACTCGTACTCTAGCAGCCGGAGACTCTCTCTCTCTCATTACGAATAAACAGTACCAGCTACCGTGGACCACAGCCGGGTTCCAGCCGGGGCTCTGCCGAGCCGCGTCAACATCGGGAACTGCTGTCCCTCGTCTCCCTGCGTTTCTATCCGGGGGGATTGAATACGACGAGCGGGACCCCACGGCATGCCAAACAGAAGCCGAAGCAAGCCGGCCGAGTACCTGCCGGGACGACCACTCAGCTGTATCAACATTCAGTACACGACATTCCTCTTCGATCTCCACGTCAGCGACGCTTTAATAATATGATCGCGGCCGCTCGGAAATAACGCCTATTTCGACTCACGGACTCATGCGGATCGTTCTTTTAAAAATCGGATGGAAAATTGCGAAAATGGAAATCTTTTGGATCATCTAAAAATGCTGGTTGTTCGTTGATTACGTAGTAAGCTTAGTGTTAGATGTATCTTGAGAAGACCGTATATACATAAAGACTGTATTTCAAGTGGAAAGTAAATATCGAGTAGGAATTATTTTTTTTAAAAAAAGATTGCTTAATATCTGTGCAAGATACGATCCTCGGATGAACGCGTCGGAAGTTGAAGAACGAAGAGAATATAAATGATTAAAATTCTAATAAAATATATTTCGAACGAGAGCTTCTATATATATATATATATATTTACTCACATCCGTGGACTACACGTTTTTTCCATTATTAGTTTCGTTTAGATTTAAACGGATTCACCCAGAAAAATTTATTTTAAAAAATAAATTCTAACTGTATAATGATTGGGCGTCCGGAGGTTTACGTACGAAAGGAAACAATGGGGGTGGAGTATGTAACAACGATTCGATTCGAGTGGCCAACATGAACTTACGTGCACGTTACTGGCCGCGAACATAAGTGCAGGCATGCCGTGCACTTCACGCTGACAAAGTGACGATTACGCTAAACGCATGACGGTCGGCGCGCGCGTCACGCGTCACGCCACTTTAGCCACTTCAACACGCGTTAAGCGATTTCCGGCGAAAATGGCCGTGCTTAGGAACGGAGTAGTACGTGTTTATGAGCGGCGACCACTGCGCCGTGCATAATGAGCCTCAATGTTGCCGTGATCGCGCGGCCGCGATTGAATTCTCGGGAACCATATTATGCGTCGATTTCCCTTTCCCCCTTCGAGGAACATCGTCCCCTTTTTAGCAGAGTATACATATTTCCTTCTACGGAAGCGATCGTTGTCACCGGTTGCTTTTTAGGTTAAGGACTCGACCGAGATTCTATTTTATATTTCTATCTTTAAGCGAGCGAAATAGTGTTCAATTTTATACCCCCTTTTATTTATTTTTCAATGTGTTAATATCAATCGTTATTCGGCGATTTAATCAGTATTGTAAAAAATTGATTGAAACTAATACTTTTTCCCATATAGGTAAGAAGTGAGAATGAAGAAGTTGAAGAGAGAAGTTGACGAACAACTAGCAAAGAATATTGTTTATAGACGGTTGCTTTTTTTAAAAAAAGATGCCCTTTACCGGAATATTTATAATTCCTTTAATATATCGCGAGGAGACGAGAAACGAGGGCAGGGATATTTGCAAAATAAATTGTACTTGAAACATCTACGTGGTCGCGGCCGATGTTCATTCCATGTATACAGCCGCATCGAATATCTAAATGTGCCGCTTGTGCGCGCCACTGACTTCCACGTGAATGCATCTCTCGTGGAAAAACACTCGTCATCGTCGGAACTGATATAATTAACTAAAAGCTGGGCTCTACCAGTGCCACAGCTTTTCCCCTTTTTCGCTCCTCCTCCTATCCCACCTACACCACTACCAAGTCCAGCCCGGCGGTCGTCTATGTCTCGTTCTTTACAGAAACCTCGGTCGAACAAAGAACCACAAGAAGAGATATTAAAAGATTTCTGCCGGGACCTCTCGTTTCCACGACGAATGGAATTCAATGGGTTTTGTAAACGAGGAAGTGGTTTTTAAATCTAATAACCGATGTTTTACCACGAGTGTAATTACATTAGGCGGTCTCTCGATACTCGCCAAACAACTTTCGCGCCTTCTTTCTGCCAGAAAAATGCTAAAACCAGGCCACGAAGTTTTCATTGCACTCTTATTTTTTCAAGAAAAGAATAATTTAAATTTTTTATTCCTTAAAATTGTTACTGAGAATTAATGATAATAATAATTTATTATTTTCAAATAGATCTTATTACAATTTAATATTTGCTGTAAAAATTTTAATTTTGAGTTTTTCTTACCGATTATTTAAATGAAATAATATTCTATCATAATACGACTGCGAACGATTTCCTATTTCTACATTCTGGACATAAAGATGTCGTAGGCATTCGATTAATCTCGATTGCAACTCGAAGTTACAATCCGCGGGTCGAAAGATCGACGGCTCGCGTCTCGAGGGGAGGGTTAATCGATATCAATAGTAGTAGTATTGGTAACCTCGATTCGCGTCCAGGTGTTGTGCATGACTGTACTCATGGCAAGATGGCGACCGGTCCTCGAGCACCCGTTTCCGCGCTCCCCTGCAGGATACCTCTCTTCCCCTCTCTTGTCGTTCTCTCTTTCTTCTTCTCACCCGCTCTCCCTGCCCGTCTTTTTCTTTCTCTTTCCTTTTCTCATGCTCGCTCGCTCGCGCTGCCACTTGAAATTTTTTTACCGCCGCGAGGGGAGGAAATGGAATAAAACGAAAGAAAGGGAAAAAAGAGGGAAAAAAAATTGGAGCTCTGCCTACCAACCCGTCGTCGTCGTCGACGACGTAGCTACCTTCACGTCGCATACCGTTTTAAATATAAAAACGATTAATTCTATTAGTTATTAACGATATCGTCACATTTTAATAAAAATTCATAAATTATTCCGAGTATAATTTAAAAATTCCAGATTTTTACGTTTTTAATACCAACTTTTCACAATGTCAGATAAATTTTACTATATCTTGTAAATAATTATTTGGGGAAGATTGTGTTCCGAAAGCAACAAAAATAAAAAGTTACCGAAATTCTTTTTATACGAAAGATCCGATTTCCATATTAAGAAAGCTATCTACACAATGTACTACACAATGTTACACAAAATGTTAATGATATTGTTACGCCCGATGCATGTTACCATCCATGCACGTGATCCTGGCCACATAATTATACGTATTACCGAACAGATCAAGATAATACAATGAAAATACCGCGCGGGAAATAGAAAGGAACGATAAACAAGACATTGAATTGAAATCGAAACTATGATAAGTAATGGAGCAAAAGAGAAAGAAATAATAAGTTACTAGTTATAAAAGAAGAAAAAGAAATGAATAAAAGTAGAATCTATAGGGATTAGGAAAAACTAACGAGTAAATTATGGGGCGGCTGCTCGTTCTGGCGTGGACGAATTGAGGGGAAAGAACGGTTCACAGATCGGGACACCGGATAACTTTCAACACCATTAATGTTCTATGGGTGTTTACAAGCTGCCGCTTGGCGGCGACAATGTCGACTCTATTTAGAAACAAAATCGATCGCGATCTAAATAACTACTTGTTATATGTTTAAAAATTGAAATCAATACAATTATACGTTTAAAATCGTGATGACTGTCAAAAGAAAATTGTAAGGTAATTTTAGAGATGAAATCGTGCAAGATCAAGAATTATACGAAGATTAAATATGAAATACTAAATAGTGAAAATAAATTTAATTAATTCCATGTAAAACAAGTGTTTGTCATTTAAACTGAATATCACAATGGATCAAAACATGAGAATAACTTTGATCCTCGTCACCTGGAAAGTGGTTTTATGCGAAAATCGTGCGACGTATGTGCTTGTTTCCATCGAAATTCGATGAAATGGTGAAGTCGATGCTAGCCGAAAAACACGCTATGAAAATCCGCTTACCTCGAAACGCCATTCCACGTGAAGTGTCGCTCACGTTGAACGTATTCTTTGCAAAAATATTTTCAACTCGTAAAAAACATAGCGGTATAGAGAGAAAAGAAAAAAGAAGATGCGATAACGAAGTAGCTAGATAGAAACGATTTGAAAACATTTCCGAGAAGCGTGTTGCACGTTTCATAGTCGTGCAAGAAATCCATTTTGAAGCGTAAGAAACTGACAGAGAGCAAATAATCGTCGGCATGTTGACACGAAAATGATTTTCAGCGCCGCTAAAACGACACGACATACCGATTCCCGCTAACTCGAATCGAACGATTTGCTGCTAATGCATGCCAGGACATCCGTGATCTCGCATACTCGTACCGGCCTGTAATGTATTCACCGGGACGAATCTGTGTGTATCGGTACGATCGCCGTCTTCTGACATCTCTTTTGAATGTTATTCTTTAGAAGGAAAGGGAACTTGGATGGAAGAGCGATTCGTATTCGTCAGTGCGTACAGCAAGATCGAGACAGGGCACGTTTCGAACTTGCAATTACGATATCTCGGGAATCTGGTGTGTCATTATTAAAGTTGATAAAAAAGAGGGAAGAGAAAAAGAAAGAAAAGAGCTTGTTTGACGGGTTTCTATAGATACGAAATAATATTCGTACGAAATTCTTTCGAAATTCTTGTTCTCGACGCCATATTTAAAAAAATTGGAACTAAAGTTTCACGTTTAACAATTTTCACACACATATATATGTATATAATTTCATCAAGTAATAAAGTTAATATAAACACAAATACATAATTATTATATAAATATTGAACATTTTAATTTTCTGATTTTTTTTTTCCAAAACAGGTACTACTGAAATCAATGAATCGTGAGCTTGTCGAGACTTTTGTCGAAAACGAATTTTGTCGTTCGTGAAAAAGTGAAAAACATTATAAAACAAGATATATAGGAAAAATGATGAAGAGAAGAAAACAAAAAATAGGAGATAAAAATAAAAATGATCCGGCAACAGTTAGTCGCGAAAACATCGTGGTAATTACATGTTTAACACAGACAATTTTACGTTTCATGGAGATCGGTATCCCTGCAAAAATTTCGACTGGAATAACGAAATGAATGCAGAATCGCTTCGAGCTGGTTGAGTGGACCACTCGAAACGAAATACGATGTGGATGCGAGGATCCGCGCCGCGTCCGGAATATTTTTCATTTAAAAGCATTTCATTTTGAAACGCTCGATATTTTGTCGTGTGTCTCGCCGTTTCGAAATCCCTCGGGAAATCCGATCTATCGAGGACGCGTATTATCATCACACGAGAGACAGTCGAACGACAGAATTTAATTTAATCCTTGCCTCCTCTCTCTTTCTCTGACTTTCTATACTTTTAATATGTATGTTGCTATATTTTGCTTTGACATTATATTTTTTGATTTGTTCAGATATATTTAGATTTTTTATGTTTCTTTTTTTTAACAGGTAATTACCTGATTTTGAGCATTCTGTTCGGCCATCGCCTTCTCCTTGGCTTGCCTCTTGCACTTGTATCGGTGATTTTGAAACCATATTTTTACCTGTAATGTGAAAAAATAATTTTTCCTATTAGAATGAAATTATCATTAATAGGAATTACAAAAAGAAAGATAAGCAATATATTGTTTCTGATAGAATGATTTATGAGCTAAAATAATAAGCTAATAAATATATTTTTTTTAATTTTTTTCAAATTTATAAACAATTTAAAAGGAAAGAAAATTTGGATCGAATTATTATTAATATAATTATTATTATAAATTTAAACTTTTTCTAACTTTTTTTCCTTCCCTAGCGGGAAGGAATTAAAAGCGGGAGCATATTTTTGATGCGTGAATTGTCGTCAGGTAGAAACTGAAATATTTTTTCAAAGGGACCAAGTCTTTTATCATGTGTGTACGTTTTAAGTAACAAAACTATTCGTAGTCCCCTTTAAATCTTTAATCCACAGTTATTATAAGTTTGTTATTCCTTCAAAAGAGATTTAACGTCTTGTTCACTTTGCTAGATATTTTAAAGAATAACTTTGTTGCACTTTGCTATTGATTCTTTATTAATAAATTTTATATTAACAATTCTTACTCTTATTTATTTAACAAACTATATTGTATATATTTAAAATGAAGAATAGAAAAAAAACTTCTCTAGTTATTTGATTAAAACAAAAAATAAAATATTTTTTCTTTTAAAAACTCCATGAACTTTAATCCCACTTAAATCTTCAATTCCAGAATTATCAAATGGATCCTAAAATAGATTTCCCGCAATTGGATCATCAAGAAGTTTTACCGATGGGATTCCTTCTGTGTACGATGTCAAAAGGAAAAAACACCGCAGTTTTATGAAGTTCCGACCCAGGAGCAATCGTGCTACGCTCGAAACCGCTTTTACGGCAATTGAACGCGATTAGGGAAGCCGGCCGTGCGGACGGGATCGAAATCGGCATCTGCTTATGACAGCGGCGCGTTATAATCCGTATTGTGCATTATGCTGCGTTCACAGGGGCGCGTCCTGATCATCATGGTATTGTCGTTGAGTCGCGAAAACAATGCTCTCCGTTTCTGTCGGCCGATTTAATCCTTAACACGATCTTGCTAAGATAACGCCGTCAGTGTTAAACAGCACATTAGAACATTATTGAAGTATTACAACCGTATATTTTAAAAATCTAAAAATTTTAAATTGAATATTTTTTTTTGATTTGATAGATGCTTATATTAATAGAATAAATATTTTGTTTCATGAAAATGTTAATTAATAGGTAATTTTATACATTGAAAGCTATACTTTGAGAAAAACTAGTACTTGAGAAAAACTAGTACTTGAGAAAAACTGAATGAACTAGTTTAACAGATCATTAAGTATTTAGTAGGTCTTTGTGGATAAAGGATCAGGAATCGCCGAATAAGTTATTTCTTGAAACATCAGTTAAGAATTAAATGTATTGACTGATTGGTAAATTATATCAAACAAATTACTATATTATAAATTGAATATTACTGAAAATCAGTATATTATTTTGTAATCTTTCTGTTAAAGGTACATTTATAATGGCGCAAATTGGAACGAGTGAATAAAATTCGGAATTCATGGAGGCAAGGAAAACAGTAGATTGAACAATTTTAAAAATGGGGACAAAGGGACAAATTAGAGGCATGTGTGAAAGGTACGCCTAAGCCTGATTTTTATCGCATGAATCAAAGGCGAATCCGACCTATATGTTGCTTTGCCTGTAACCTCCTACTCGAGTGCCTGTAACCCGCTGCAATCCCCCTGTGTAGCCCCGTGTAACCCCCCATTGTCGAAGTTATGCGCACCGTAGAATGCAACGAAAGCACTTTAAGGGGCTCCGTGCAGTAGACCGTGTCTCAAGAGCCTGCCACCGTCTGTCTAATTCTTTGAATATTAGCGGGATCGGCCACCCTCGAAAATTCTTGTTCCCCTTCGAGGCAGTCCGCCGCCTCACGTGTGCGCCAGGAATGCCGATCTATGGAGAACACAATTTTCCAATTGCCGCTTTATGAAGTGATTACCCAATACATTTCTAGGAATACTTGTATCTATTTGCTGATATACAATGATTCATGTTTTAATTTGTCATTGGTCCTTGAAATAAGTGTTATGGAAAAGAATCAAATATTGTGAGTATTGACTACCAATGTAATTATACATCTTATTAATTCCGTAACGTTAAGTGGTTTCTTATGTTCCTACAAAAGCTTGTTTTATTTCTTTCGATTGTTTTCTAATTAAAATTAATTATGTATTCGATTCTAATTTATTATTATTAATAGCCAATACTAGTCGGAGGATGGGAATGAAAATTATACCATTATATTTCCAAGAAATCTGGATATTATTTTTTTTTTATTGAAATAATGTTCATCAATATATCGTATGTATGTAATATGAAATTTTATATATTTTAAATTCATTCATTTTAATTCAGCTCATTTTCAGGATCAAGTATCGCACGTATAAATCGCTCATAATCATGGAAAGTGCTTAAAAAATAAGAGGAAGAAAGAAAAGGAGCAAAGGTTGCGAAGAAAAGCGCTTTGTATCTGGCGAGTCCTTTCGCGCGACTTTCCGCGTATGTTTTGTGGTGCGACTGATGCGTAGGGCGGAGAGACCTTATCTAAAAGCCACGAAGAGGTACTAGACGAGGGAAGTACTCTCTCGCCGCTCCCGTTCGTTAATTCCTTTTCCACCGATAATCCACTCGTTGAAGCCGGTGGAGTTTCGGGTGTGCGGCGACTTCGAGAGGTCTACAAACAGCCTTGCTTGCCTCAACGCGTTCTTGCATTCTCTACTTTCACGTGTCACCCATTCCTTTTTGTCCTGAGCCTTCTTGCCCTCGCGAGCTGGACGATGCAATTCAAATATGAATGTATATATCTCGTTGCTGTTCTCGCGTTTGTTATTTGGAATTTCTTTTTCATCTTTAGTTTCTAACCGCATAAAAAATTTACAAAAGTTTCAGAAAATTTAAGATGTTTAATAATTAATGTTAAAGTAATTAAATAAGAGATTTCAAAAAGAAAAAAAAAGGATCTACGAAAAGAATCAAAAGATATGATATTCAAGTAAATTTTATTGAGTATATATATATATATTTGAATTGTATCCAGATCGAAAATTTGAAGGCAGGAATGGCAAAAGATTCGACGAAATGAAGGCGGGATATGAACTGACAGAGAGAATTGTTATTTTAAGGGAATGGTCTGTCCGTCAGTCCGTTTGTCCGTCGCTCCCACAACGGTGCCGTGTGTAAACAGAGAAAGTTGAACGAGATAGGGATATAACTAGTATATATATTCGCAATCCATGGAAGAAAGAAATTCGTGACAAATACCGATTCTTGACGATAAAAGCGTATAACTTTACCATAGAAACGGAAATATAAATAACTGATTGATATTTCCTTGTACGTAATTTTTATTTTTTGAGAATATTCAAAAACTTAGTATCTACATTGTACATATTTTCAATCCTGTTAAAATATTTCTTGTAAAAAATATTTGTAAAAAGAAAATGGACTATCAGAAATATTAGAAAGAAATGAGAAACAGCTTATTTATCTTTGATGGATAGATCGGTGCAAAAAGGCAGCAGGGCCCGTAGGGGTCCGGCCAAGGTTTGCTCAACACCAAGAAAAGGGGAGCTTAGCTTTAACTTCCGATTAACTCGTGGTTAACTCTCGTTCAGCCAGGTAAATGAATCGTTTCTCGTAACCATTCGAGCGAATCTGTAAATACCCTACGTTTTTCTTTCTTTCTTTCTATATGCATCGTAAAAATCTATTTGTTTCTTTGAACTAATTGAAGTTCAAAGAAAATAAATAAGTTAAATAAGTTTTTTCACGGCTGATATTAAGATTAATCTAATATCGACTTCTAGAATTTTCTAGAATTTTCTAGAATTAGTCATTAATAAATTTTTTTCTATTTCCAGATTACACTTAACCTCAAAGTTAAGAATTTTCTCGATGAATTTTTCTTCCTTTCATTCATCGTAGAAGTGAAGATCGGATCTATTAATCACGACTTTATTTCGTTTCGTCCATATTTAAACATTTCATTGAGAATATTTATTGATATTTAATCAACGATTATCCATTTGGACACACCGACTCCGCCTATGCACATGCCATCTATCTCTTACTTTGACATTAATTAGTGTATCGAATAGCGATAAATTCAGAGAGCAGTTCATCAAAGCGGAGGACACGCGACATTTGGGAGGAACATCGAGTACCTGTTTGGCTTATGCTCGACAGAGGCCCGAGATCGTACATCCGTTCGAGCAGGGAGTATGCGGTTAAAGTGGACGATTGATCAAGTTAGCGTAACGTCATTACGTCGCGTACATTGAGGGTTCACGCAAAATCACCACCACCATCGTAAGCAACGGAGTATTGGGCGTTACCACCCTTCGTAGGCCCGCCAACTGTTTCCTCGGGCAATTTCACTCGACACCAACATTCGACGGATTATCCAATGGAAACCCCCATGTAGCCGCGGGCTGCAGGATAGTTCACGGATTGTTCCGATGTTGCTCGAAAGAAAGACTCGTGTAATTGACGAGAATTGCCACTCGAGGTGTTCTGAACCGTTTCTGAACGCATCCGTTTGCCTCGGGCTACATGGGTGATTTTCTTCTGATCTATTGTTGTTGGAAATGATCTTGGTATTTTCTTTCCTTCCTTTTAAAGTTGAATTGAAAAATTTGTAAAAAATTATTCGTCTTTTGATTTTTTATTTTCGTTATTGAAGGAAAGAAAATTGTGTTGGAAAAAATTAAAGAAGAAAATATTTATATCCATTCTCTTTTTTATCAAGTGATGTGATGAAATATAAAAAGTGGAATTATTTTAGAATCTCGGATAAGCTTTCCCAATGGAATACTTTACTAGGTTAACAATTATAATTATTTGCAGAAGGAGTTGGCGGCAAGCAAAAATCGCAGGAAAAAGGGATTTGCAAAGCTTGATTTTAAGTCAGAGACGTGTTTCCATCGCAAAGTGCAAGGAACCGCAACG